AAGGCTTGGCGCTAATGTTATTTTCATATAAGTTAGCACTGTTCCTTCGGTTGGGATGACTGCGTACAGATCAATAATTTCATCGTCTTGTACGTCTTGAATATTTGATTTGCGTGATTTTCGCGATTTACGCGATTTTTGTGATTTAGATGAATTGACTGACTGACTTTGTGGCTGAATTAGTTTTTTGGTTCCATTTGGAACGGGAAATTCTGTTGCTGCTGTCCCTGTGGCTTGGGTTTGTGCCAACATTGGCTTATGGTATGGCCAAACTTCCCGCAGTGATCACAGAATTTTGATCCAGTGCGAACTGCTGCTGTATTTGGGTTTTGGGTGTGCACCTGCTGCATCATTGGTTGTGCTACTTGTTGGGCAAACTGAGGATTCTGTTGTGGTGGCGTAGCTATCGCTTGTTGCTGTTGGGTTTGTTGGCCCTGAGGGTACATCTGGTTCGGATAAAATTGAGCGTTCTGTTGTGTTTGGGGGTAGTTCTGGTTTTGTTGGAAATAGGGGTTCGATTGCATTCCAGGGATCTGTTGGGGAACTGGAACATTTGTGGGGGTACTGCATATTTTGAAACCCGGAGAAACCTTGGTTTCCGTATCCATCATTTCTCTGCTGTCCGTTCTTTTTTCCTTTACCAAATCTACCCCTTCTTTGATTGTATCCTTGTTGTCCATTCCCTTGATTAGGGCCAGATGTATTGTCCTGGTTTGGGCCTTGTCCAGTCCCTTGGCTTTGTATATTATTTCCGTGATTTTGTTGTTGCTGGGTTTGATTGATATTCCCACCTTGTGGTCGTGACTGGATCATTTTTCTCTGATCCGATAGCTCACTACGGACTTCGTTGAGTTGTTTCTCAATCTGTTCCTGGGCAGTTGTTAGTTTTTACAACGCACTGATTAGGTTGTGAGAAACTGTATCTCCAATTTCATTGACTATCTTCTGGGTAATCCTCATTACGACAGACGTCTCTAATTTTCATTTGTTTGCGTGCCAGGTTGCAAAGTTCTTGTACTTTTGTCGCAGCTGGTTGTTCCATCATCTTCGAGCGGAGCCAGTTGGGCATGCCTTTTATCAAAAGACGTTTAATCTGGTTGTTCCTATGATCATTTTCTGCGTCAAGTCGTTCTTGACGTTGCGCCATCTCTCCATGGAAGCGCGCTGCGTCTGCATCGGCTGCCGCACCTACTAGTGCCGCATCGAGTGGGGCAACGGCAGGTAGATCCGGTGTCGGGTAGGCTCGTTGTGCCTTTTTTGTGAGGTTTACCAGGAAATCCTCTGGTGAGTCTCGCTTGATATCAAACTTTGATTCTTCAAGTTTTAGAACGTGGACCTCTTGCAATTGAGGGTTGCAAAAATGGTCGCGTAGTGCCGCTAGACTACGAGGTACGTCGGCTCTTGTTAGTGCTGGCAGTGTCAGGTAGAATCGCAGAGCGCTATCTCGCAGGTGCAATTGTAGAAAATTCGCTTGCTGAGCATTTGCGATTCCCGCAACTCCAACGTATCCTTGGAAGAGCTATTCGAATTGGGCGAAATCTTCGTTATCGCTTCCGCCAAATGGTTCGACTGAGATTTGAGCGTGCGCCATCTTATCACAGTTATATGATTGTCAAGTCTGATTCAAAAATGATTTCAGATGAATCAGTCGCTATTTTATAGTGGAAATAATTAATGCCTACTGGGTACTTAAATTTTAAGGACGTAATTATCGTCTCTGAGAAAATATATAGATAGCTCGTACTATGATTAGTTACGAGAAGGAGTTAATTAACTCTTTTTTCTATATTTTAAACTATACTTTTTAAATTAACTTTTCTTGCGGCTTTAATATTATTCCACTACATTTTTTTTTTAAAATTTGGTTAGACTTTAAGCACTGGATAGGTTTTCAGGCGGTTCTCATGGATAATTTCATATGACTGGTTTCAAATGAGCACTCATCAGTTTTAATTTAAGCACCGAGAGTTTTAAGTTTAGGTTTTAACTAACTGTTTTTGTACTTGTATCACTTTCCTGGAGAAGTATAGTAGTTGTCATCAACACAAAACAGTTGAAGTTTCCTTTTGCCCCTTGCTGTCGTCTCTCACTGCCTGTCGTCAGTTTCAGTTTTTGCCCCGCTTTTCTGCTGTTTGAGCCAGTTACTGCCGTGATCTTGCTTCAGCTTGTGGCGTATGGAAGTCGTCTTGTGTTGGATGTCGTCTTGTTTTCACTCTCACTTTGCAATCAGCTTCAGCTTGTCTTGGAAGGTTGGTAACATCATCCCACTCATAGTCGCCATGTTATATAGCGTGTCTTGCTATGATATTTAATGTTTGGAAATGAGGAATTGTGTTTGAGAGTAATAAAGGGATGCGCGGTCTAGGCTCAATATCTTCGACTCAGGGATGTGCTTCGTGATGTCTACCCCCTTCTCTAGAGTCTACGCTGTTTGATTTATAAGAGTGAGGATTAATCTTTTAATTACTATCTTTGAGCTGTTTTACTGTAATGGCTCTCTCTCAATTAATGATTCAATTACATTCTAATTGATTGTTTGCATTAAGTAAATATGAGTTTAATACTTTGTCATTGACATATAATGGCATTGATATTTAAGTCTAATTCGCACCAATCAAGGTAATTATTAATGAGTAACTAACATAGGCGTGAAGCACTATGTGACAGTTGAAAGCAGTCAAACTCCACTATCGAACAGGAAAAGTGTAAAGGTCACCATGACGTTGTTGTGTCGCATACTCTCAGGCGCATAATTAATGTTCTCTCAGGCGCATAATTAATGTTCTAATCATCTTCAAAAAGTGTCGAGAAAAACTGATTTGAAAAATTCCATTTTTTTAGTCCAATTTCGAGGGAATTAAGAGAGTGAGCAGACGTATAATTTGCTCTAGTTAAATTAGTTTTCGGAGATTTTAGCTCCCTATAAAGGTTTGAAAAATCAAAAATTAAAGGATCGTAGCTAGCCTTTACATGACTTCTCCTCAATAGATAAAAAAGGAGAAGTTATTCTGTTAGGAAAAAGAAACAAGTCAAGAGTTCACAAGATCTCAAAACAAGTTTTCAATCAAAAACACAGTAAGTGTTGGTTATCAGACAAAAAAAAACATAAATTTTACACAAATTAGCTCCTTAATTGATCTTCGTAGGCTAAATAGGAGGCATTTGTAGAACAATCTTTTTTCATAGACAAAATAAGTCATGATCTATTCATTAAAAAAGTTTTGAAAACAAGCCGAAAAGACCAATTTTAGAGTAAAAATTGGTGATCAAACTTCGCTAAACACACTGCATCATGCTAATTTAGAGTTCTCGGCAAATTTTGCCCTCAATTTTTTTTGTAATTCAATTTTTTAAAAGAAAACCCTATCTTGTAATCTTCTACTTTTGCTTGTTTACTCCGATTAACTGCAGCATCGGCACTGTACAGTTTATTTCGAAGTGGAAAATTATTTTTTAAATATTTTGATGGTGAAATTTGAATAGCATCGGTCATGAAACCTCGCAGCTGTGCTACGAACAGTTTTTTTTCTTATTGTGTCAGATTTTTTTTCGTTTGTTTTTTCAAGAAAATTATTATGTTTGTTCAAGATTATATTCGCTTTCCCGCGGCTTGATAAAATTCCACCTTCGATCTTGAAAAACGTGATCGAAAGTGGAATTTTATTTTTTAGAAATAGACTTATTTAGAAAATTTCTTAACAAAAAATCCGGCTAGAAATAGCCTAGTTTTAGAAATAGCCAGAAGTTGGATTAGAAATTAAGAATTTCTGGTTAGAAATAGCCTAATTTTAAAACAAATTTCAGACCAGAATTCAGGTAAGAAGTTAAAAAAATTTTAAGAAAATCCCTGCTTCATTTAAACATTTCATAAAGAATTTCTGACCAGAAATTTAGATTTGATATAAAGTATTTCAGGCCAGAAATAGAAAGCAGCAAGTACTACACAATTCTTAGATGATGGAAACATCACTAAAAGTCATGCTATCATTATATGCAACTAAAAGCCATGCTTTCGTTATTGAAGAGCATAGTTTGCCAATATAGCATGAACGAATTTGCAAACTATTTTGAAGTGAAATCAAAACAAGCCAAAACTCAAAATGCTGCAAAATATAAGCAAGAACAACTTTTTCTTGAAAAAAAAAACGATTTTTCACTTAGCAAGTTCCTTCTTACCAGGAAGTAAGGAAGCAATGAACAGAAAACAAAACAAAAAAAATCGGTGTGTTGGGAAATTCCTTAGGTATTAGTTCCTGATACAAAAAAAACAATAGATAGACTAGAAGATTCAAGCGCAATCGTTGCCCATTGCTTCACTAATTCAAGTAAATGACAACCGCTAAACGAAATTGTGCGCTACTAACCTAACTACAAATTGACGCTTAGAAAAGAAATTTACTACTTAAAAACCAAATCTTAAAATTGAAACATAGCCAACTGACAGTTGGAAAATACTAATGAACGCCAGGAAACGGAAAAAAAACTGCCTTGTTTTTCTTCATAGTTTTTTAGGCTAAAAAAGATATATGCTCTGAAAGCTCTTTCAACTTCAAGAATAATCTATGGTTGGTGCATTTTGATAAAATTACCCCATTTTAAGAAAACAGTGATTATATAAAGTTTTTTCTCCACTCCAAAATCTATAAAGCAAATTCCACTTTCGAACTAGAAATTGATCACGTTTTTTCTCGCCATTTCACATTTGAAATTGAATAAAGCTATTTTTGTCAATTTTAGCAGATGAATTTCATTTGAACTCAAAAGTGCATTTATACCTCAGTCCATTCATAAATGCATTAACATGTATGATTATGAATGAACCTCTGTAGTAATTAAAGCATTTTTAGACTTTTTCCTGAAAAAAATACAAAGAATCATCAAGACCTATATAAGACTTCACTGCGCTCATTACTCTTAACATTAAAAAAATAGGATTACTCTTAACAATTAAGGCATTATTAGAAAACAATTAACTATAAAATCTATTTAAATCGAAGACCTATCTTCGCCTGAATTCTGTCTGCTGTTTCAATCTTTTTTAAATCACGGATTTTAATTAATTAAACTTTCAAAAAGCTAATATTGCAACCATGTAGTTTGTTGAAGTGATAAAACAGCACTTTATTGCGTTGAAAAGCAGCTATTCCAATCTAGAATAGCTACATCAAACTAGTTCCATTATCCAATTTATCAGTCTAACAGAAATACGATGAAAGAGATGAATGAACTCCAGAAATAGAAATTCCAAATACTAATTAATTAACCAATTCGGAAGTCTCCTGCGAAGAGCCCTGCTTTGTAAAATCAACATGCCCTTTTTCGATAATTTCTGATAAGAATTCTCAGTTTGAAATTGAAACAGATGCCCCACTGGGACTCGAACACTCGCTCTCTGTGTCAGGAGACGCAAATCCCTCCTCGGTAGAATATAAAATATTGATCACTTCTGTTATCGGCAAAGCGTTTCCGAACGGCTGATCTTGGCATAGAATCTCGATGTCTCGCAACTTCCCGAAATAGAAGTCTCGCTCTTTCTCCAAAAAGGTTATTGTCTCTTTTAGGTTCTTCACCTGGTGGTCTGCGTCGGTAGTTCCAGTTTCAGGTTGCACGTTTTCTGATTCTGGAACATTCAGCGTGGCTGGCGTCTTAGATTGGGGTCGTTTAGCCTGCACGCTGGACTTCGGCTTTGTTATTCGACTGCTGAAACAAAAAACAAGCTTGTCACTCAATGAAATTTGAAAAAAAAACGACACGTATTTTTACAGTATTTTTTTAAATTAATGACAATGATATTTTAGACGACCAGTGGATGTGAATTGAATTTTATAAACAAGCCTACAAAAAAAACTGAATCAATAACTTACACGATTGATTTAACTTCCATAATTTGAATTAGCAAAAAAGATCAATTTATTTCCAGTTGCTGGAAATGAAGGAAATCAGCATAACATAAGCAAAGTATTTTGAAAAAGTAGTTGCTTTTTGAAGGTATATAGTAAAACAAAATCCACCTGCCTAATTAATTGATTATTCTACTTTGATTTCCTTGTGCACAGAGCTACTTCAAATTACAGAGCAACGGTCGTCATTCAATCCAACGAGATTGAAAGAAAAAACATATAAAATAACGATATTGGGTTGCAGAAAAATATAAATTTAGAGCAAGCGGATGTTCAACAAACCGCCGTGCCTACCAATCGCCATTACTTTCAGCCGAAATTACACAAGAATTCCGTAACAATATATTGTTGGATTTAAAAAATCATTTTTCAGCTTGTTTTAATGGTAATCTTATTTTCGGCTTGATGCCCTACCAACGTAAAACAGCTCCGAGCTCGAAATAAAACTACAACCTTAGGATTCTCAGAGGAATTTGTAAATTTTACCTAGACAAAAAATGATTTTTGCAATTAAATCAAAACAAATGACCATACATAGCCACACAGTTGAAAAGTGTCACTCAGCAAAAGAGAAATAGTTGCTGAACACATTTTGAATAGATTCTTCTTCAATTTTCGAGATGACGTTCAAGCTCTTGGAATTTCAATATTCTTCTACACACGACCCTTTTTCGATAAAATTGGCCCATTTTAAGAAAATTGGTTCAAAAAGAACAAATTGGATTCTGCTGACAAATCTAATTAGTACATTCTTTTTTCTAGAAGTCGTTCACGTTTTTTCGCGCCTTTTTCTCTTCATAAGTGGAGAGCGTTATTTGCTTTCCTTTTAGCAAATGAATTTGAAGTAAACTTAGTAAACATTACCAACTGACAGTTGGAAAACAGTTATGAACGCAAGGAAATAGAAAAAAAACCTGACTTGTTTTGAAGAAAAATATATGGCCCTAAATATCTTTTCATTTCAAGAAAAAATTATGGTTGACAATTTTTTGATAAAATTAACCCAACTTGAGAAAACTGGATCAATAGGTAAATATATCATTCAGCTGAGAAATTTGAAGTTAAAAAGAAAACATTTTCAAAAAAAAAGCAGCAATACCTATATAAGATTACTCATCGAAGGACATTCATCGACTCTTAAACGTATACCCATTTGCGAAATTTTTTTTTCATAATTTTGTTAAAATGTCCGGTTGCTATTAAAAATTGCATGCTGGCTAGAATGTCTTAAAAAAACACTGGTTCAACCTTTAATGGGATGTGTTGAGGGGAGGGCGTGAAAACAAGCCGGATTTTGTGAATTCGGATGGGAATTTTCACAAGTATACTCCATTAATATACTCTTTTTAGCAACAAACTTCAGTGTTGAATCAATTTTTTTTAAAATCATGCAAAAGACGACCCCTTCAGGCAGTTTGTCGAGGGTTTTAAAACAGAAAACATTGCTTTGTTTGCTCTCATACAGAAAACATTGCTTTGTTTGTTCTCTCCTCAAAAATAGTAACAAAGGATTTGTTATTTTGCGGTGGTATTTCAAGGTATTTCGGAAATGAGATCCGTCGATCCAAAAAGTTGACTTCTCGTCATAGGACAAAAATTTGTATTTTCATAGATAATCAATCTGGGCGCTAATCCAGTACTACCGGATGAGCAATAACTGCAGAAATTCCGGAATAAACGCCACATACTTTCCATAAAATTACGAAAAATGACTTAATGACTTAAGACACTCGCTAATATTTATCAACAATTTAAGTTGTTAGCCGATTCATTGATCTTTGGCGGAAACTAACTTTCACCTCATTTCTCCGTTTTCAAATTGCGATTTCTGTTCTGTTAAGTTCATTTTTATATTTTGCTTTAATTTGGTTACGTCAGTTTAGACACCCCCCCCCCCAAAAAAACAAAACAACAACACCCCATCAATTATTTTTTTTCATTGGATTGCATATGGCCTGTTGTGGTGCTATGGTACATTTAAATGCGGTGATTTGCATCATATAAACCAAAGTGAAAATTAATTACCTACGGAACAGCCAAAATATTAAATTTACGCGGAAAATATGCAAAAAAAAGCAAAATTTCGCTTGGCAAACACTAGCAAGAGCATCACAAAAAGCAGCTTTATAAAAAGCAAAAAGAAACAAGCCTTAAATTAGTAAAAATTAATCAACGTCTCAGTTTCGGTCTGCGACCTAGAGATTATGAGTCTCAGGCACTAACCTCTCAGCCACGGACGCTTAATTCATCACAAACACAAATGAAGCAGAGAACAGATGCTCTTAAATTTCTAATCCTACAGAACGTGATCACTTTTAAGGAACACTTCTATTTTCGAGTTAGGTTAGAAAAAAAAGAGAGAAGTTCATACTAATACACTTTGCTCGGAAGCTCGCTAGCGTAAACATCGTTAATAGATAGTCGGAAATGTCATTGATCTCAAGAAAATCTGACAAAACTACTAAGTTTTCCGACCTTTTTCAACTTAAAAATTTCAACAAAAAAAATGCATCACAGTAAATCAAGCTCCTTGAATTTCAAGGACCTTTGACAATTGACTTCTCAGCCTTTGAAAAAATACCAGTAAACAGAACAAAAATACGATTGGGTTTTTGAAATTTTTCAATTTTCGAGATTCAAGGAAAAAATACATGGCCCTAAAACTGGGCAAAGCTGATAGAGTGGTTATTGATAAGTAAAAAAATTTGATACAAAAATGGTCAAAATTCAAACATTTGACTTTTCCGAGGGTTACAGCTTTTCATTTAAAAAATTTGGGCTTTGCCGCTTATGAACGGGAGCTTCTCAGAACCGTCCTGACAATTTAAAAGGACTAACAGATAAAGGAGGATAGTTTTAAAGAACAGTAAAAAAAACGCGGTCGAACAATCAAAAAATTGATTTTCCGAGGGCCTAACCTTTTGCGGAAAAAAAATTTGGTGGAGCCGCTTATGCCATGAAGCTTCCACAACCCGTTCTATACATTGAACCCAAAACCTCAGATTTGGGAGGAAAATTTTCAAGAAAAGTAAAAAAAAAATTCGAAAATCGAATAAAAAAATGAAAAACCTGACTTTTCCGAGGGCCTTACTTTTGGTGGAAAAAAATTGGTGGAGCCGCTTATCCCATGGAGCTTCCCACAACCAGCTCTATACGTTGAAACCAAAATCTCCGATTTGGGAGGGTATTTATAAAGAAAAGTATAAAATTCAAAAAGCGGTCAAAAAATCATGATTTGGCGTTTCCGAGGGTCATAAGTTTCCGAGGGTCAAAGAAATTGGGCAAAGCTGATAGGGTGGTTTTATTGAGAAAAGTCAAAACATTTGATACAAAAACGGTCAAAACTCAAATCTTTGACTTTTCCGAGGGCTACAACTTTTCAGGTAAAAATTTTGGGCATAGCCATGCAGGGGGGCTTCTCAGAATCCGTCCTGACAATTTAAATAAAAATAACAGACAAGGGGGGTAGTTTTCAGGAAAAAAGAAAAATTTTCAAACGCGGTCAAACAACTGATTTTTAGAGGGCCTAATTTTTTGCGTAAAAAGAAATTGGCTGGAGCCGCTTAGGCCATGAAGCTTCCCACAACCCGTTCTATACATTGAAGCCAAAACCTCAGATTTGGGAGGGTAGTTTAGAAAAGTAAAAAAAAATTCGAAAAGCGAACAAAAAAAAACAAAACATTGACTTTTCCGAGGGCCTAACTTTTTGTGGAAAAAAATGGTAGAGCCGCTAATCCCATGCAACTTTCCACAACCAGTTCTAAACAGTGAACCCAAAATCTCAGATTTGAGAGGGTAGTTATTAAAAAAAGTAAAAAAATTCAAAAAGCGGTCAAAAAACCATGATTGGAGTTTCCGACGGCCATGATTTTTTTAGTTAAAAAAATGGGCAAAGCTGATAGGGTGGTTGAGAAAAAAAAAATTTGATACAAAAACGGTCAAAACTCAAAAATAACAGATAAGGCGGAAGTTTTTAAGAGAAGTAAAAAAATTCAAACGCGGTCAAACAATTGATTTTCCGAGGGCCTAACTATTTGCTGGAAAAAAATGGTGGAGCGGCTTAGGCCATGAAGATTCCCACAACCCGTTCTATACATTGATCCCAAAACCGCAGATTTGGGAGGGTAAATTTAAGAATAACAAAAAAAAATCAAAAAGCGAACGAAAAAAATCAAAAAATTGACTTTTCCGAGGGCCTAACTTTTTGTGGAAAAAAAATTGGTGGAGCCGCTTATCCCATGGACTTTCCACAACCAGTTCTTTACATTGAAACCAAAATCTCAGATTTGGGAGGAAAGTTTTCAAGAAAAAAAACTCAAAAAGTGGTCAACAAATATAAAAAAACTGACTTTTCCGAGTGCCTTACTTTTGGTGGAAAATAAATTGGTGGAGCCGCCTTTGCCATTGAGCTTTCCACAACCCGTTTTATAAATTGAACCCAAAATCTCAGATTCGGGAGGGTAGTTTTTCGAAGGCTGTAGAAAGAGAGGTATCAGGTGCGCATTCAGGGGGTGGCGGGCACCCCCGCCCCCTACGGGATTCGACCCCCTAACCAATCAAAGGGTATTATTTTATGAAATTCATTTCGGCCGACCAACCCTTAAATTTCTTTCAAAGGCATCTTACCTTCGGCTCCAATATAAACTAATTATGAACGGGAGCGCGCGCCGAAATTTTTAGGTCAATTTTCAAAGAAGAGTCCAAAAATGATATTTCTTACCTACTTTTTCAACAAAATTTTCTCAACTCAAAACAGAAGCCCATATAATGTTCTGGGAGCGCTCGGAGAATCAATTTGGTCGACTAAATTTTCGAAAATTTATGAAAAATCGCCCCCACCCCCTCGAGAAACGAGTAAATCCTAGATACTGGGAGGTATGGTAAAAGAAAAGAAAAGAGACTAGAAGAATGTGCTGGCACACAGGAAAATGGTGCCCATTCATTGTCTTTTCAACCCTCATTTAGTACAACTCCAGTACAGCTTATCACTGCAGAATTAAAAACAAAACTTACGAAGACACTTTTGGCTTCACGGCTGCACTCTCCGACAACTGCAGTTCAATTCCTCTTTTCCGCCTCTCCTCCACTGGGTCGAAATCAGGGTGGGGATGGGGTCGTCCTTTGGAAATATTGGCCATGTAGAATTTGTGGAACCACTGGGCGAACTCGACGTTGTCGCCAGGCTTCTTCGCGATTAGACGTCCGATCGGAATCTCCTTGAAGATACAAGCGTTTCTCAGCAGAAGTGAAGAACTTATACACATTTCAAAACCAAAAATTACTACTTTATATTTCAATGGTGTTGTAGAAATTGAGTATTTTATTTTCTATTAAACATTGTATTTCGATTGCAAGCGAAATTAATTTTTCTTCTTCTAATGATAGGAAAATTCAGTTCCTGAAAATGAAAATACCCGTTTCAAAATGAAAATAAGGCCGCCGGAAATAGCTTAAATAATGAAAAAATTGAATTGTTCCATTGGAAATCCCGCAAAATTTAACTTAACTTGGACCTAAAATGGAGTTACAAATGCAACACTCCACATATGAGCGGACTTAAGGGGAAAGTTTAGAGGAACTTTTCTGAACTATTCTCGACACACACCAATTTTTTGTAGACTAACAACAAAACCTTTCTGAACGCGCCTTCTAAAACATTTGAAAAACACATTTGAAAGAAGCGCACGTCAGAAAAAAAATCAGAGTTTAATCAGAGTTTCCAATCTAATCGATGGCGCCATTTTTGGCACGTTTTTTTCAAAATTCGCCGGCGGTACACATAAGTTTTTGCAAAAAAAAACAGGGTTATTTAGCGCTCTAGGGGAGCTCCGAAAATCAATGTAGTCGACTTACAAACCTGTCTACCTCTCTGCATTTGCCTTACATACCATTGATACTTTTGGTAGCAACAGAGAAATAATTACCTTATTATTTAGTTTGAAGGTTTCAAGCGTCAATAAAAATATGAACCGTTCAACTCTTTTTCCCCGTTCAGTGATAAAAGAATGTCCCAAAAAATATATTTCAATCAAAAATCAAACGCGTACTAACTTTATTTAAATCAGTGGTTCAACACAGAATTTGAGCGGAGAAACTGTTTTTGAGTATTAAATAAACTCGTACGAACTGTCATGCTCAATGGCGTCTTGCTGGGCAGAGGCTTAACCGATTTGTTATCCAAAAGGACTCGTAAATTTGTTTGGCTTAGCAAAAATATTTAAATTTGAGTCACGCGACCGCAGTGGGGACATTATCAGATTACCAAATTCTAATGGAGATCCAAGATTGATAAATCTGAATTTAACAGTCCCAAAATTCTGCTTGCTTGCGGTTTTCAAACCAAAACTTAAAGTGAATTCGTTTAATGATTTAGAAAGGCTAATTTGGAACAAAAAAAACTCTAAAATAAACATTCTTGAGAGACAGAACTATTAAGCAAAGCGACAACGATATTTTGAAAACTTCTCAATAAACAAAAAGGAAGCAGTTCTAAGAAAACTATTTTTTGATTTAAAAAATGCTACAGCTGCTAATACAATAGGCAACAACTTAAAAAGAAATTTTTCAAACAAGAACTCGAATTCAGATAAAAATAGCTAAATAAAAACATTGCCAACATGCGGTTGCAAAAGTGCCAAACAAAAAATCACGCTAAAGCTCATTGAGTTTCAAGAAACTTTTAAGATTGAACTTTTTTATTCCACAGGGAATTCTGAAAATTGAAGCGTTGAACTTTTGAAAATTGAGGCATTGAATTAAAGTGACTCACGTTTTTTCACGCTCATTCGTAACAATGCAGAGCGTAATTTGCCTTCCTTTTAGCGAGTCGATTCAAACGATAAATTGATAAACGAATAAACTAAAATCGGAAATGGTTTAATTACAACCAACAATAAAAATAGCCAACAAACAGACAGTTAGAAAAGAACCAATGAACGCAAGAAACAAAAAAAAACTGACTTGTTTTTTGAAAAAATTCAACCTTAGAAGTTCAAAGAAAAAAATAAATGCCCTAGAAGCTCTTTCAATTTTACGAACAATTTAGGGCTGGCATTTATCGATAAAATTAAACAAATTTGAGAGAACTGGATCAGTAAGTATTTTTTTATTCCGCTGGGAAATCTGAAAATTAAAATCCATTTTTGAAACTGGAAATCGATCACTTTTTTCGTGTCCTTTACACTTGCGCTGTTCGATAGTGGCTTTTGCCCTGGATTTTAACAGAGGAAATGAACTGGTAAAATCCAAACTCAACCCTCGAAAAATCAAATTTGACCGTGAACAAATTTTCAAGACTTTTTCCGGAAAAAAGACATCCGAACAACAATTCATCTCGACCTACATAAGAGTGAGAACAACGTTCAATGACTCGTAAGAATCAGCTTCGAATAAAACGGGAATGTAAAATGCATACATGCTAATATTTGACTGCTCGCTGACAAAGTACAGATAGAGATGACCACCAATTTTAGTTAGCCTGTGAACAAGGTTATTTCAGGAAAACAGTTTCAGGTAAACCTTGCTTACCACGGGGTAATAAAATCTTAGAAAGAGAAACTCAAGTAACTAAAGCGAATACATAATAACTACTTGAAAGAGTAACTCAAGTAGTTATTATGTATTCGCTTTACTGATCTGGTGAATTACATCTATACAGGTCAATAGAACGCTTCCGAAAAAAAAACATTATAGCGTAGGAAAATAGCGAGTTTTGAAGTACTGATCTTCAGTTAATGCTTCCAGCGTAATTCCAATGTTAAGACAGAATAAAAAATATATTTGCTTTATTTAACACAGGTGAAGCTTCGCTTCGCGAAGATTAGCGAGAACACGACAAAAAGCAGCTCTTTAAAGTGCAATTAGAAACAGTAGAAATAAACCTTGAATTAGCAAAAATTCGGTTACGTCTGAGATTCGATTCCGCGACCTAGAGCTAAGAGTCTCTCACTAGTCAAAAAAGCAGAAAACAGATGCTTTGCAATTTCTAATGGTACAGTTAAATTCCAAATAAGTGAATAGTTTTAATGAACACTTTCATTTGCGAGTTAGGTCAGAAAAAAAAGGTTCGTAATAATACACTTAGCTAATGGCTAGTGAAATAATTAATTTCCGTATCAAAAATCGTCCAAATTTTTTTCAGCTAACAGCATAAACATAGCCGACAGACAATTGGAAAAGAGTAATGAATGCAAGTAAACCGAAAAAAAAACACTGACTTTGTTGAAAAAATCTCAACTTTCGAACTTCAAAGAAAAAAATAGATACCATTTAACCTCTTTGAATAACCCAACTTGAGAAAACTGTATCAATAGGCAAAACTTTTTATACCACTGGATAATCTATAAATTAAATTCCACTTTCAAAGCTACAAGTCCTTCACGTTTTTTTATACCATTTCAACGTTCCTCTTAGGAGAGGGCTATTTATGTAACTTTCAGCAGATGAATTTCAATTGAACTCAGAAAGTACATATATAAGTAAAAGCATTCATAAATGCATTAATATGTATGAATGCACATATGTAGTTATTAGAGCAATTTAAGACTTTTTCCTGAATAAAAAATCAAAAAGACCTATATAAGAGTCTTCTTTATGTTCATTATTCTTAAATTTCAAAATGAATAAATGATCTTAGCCAGCAGTTGCATAGCAAAGGTAGAAGTAACTATTTAAAAATATGTTCAACAAACAATCAACTCTCAAGTTCAATGAATCCATTAAAACATAGCCAACTGAAAATTGGAAGAGTAATGAACGCAAGGAAACTGAAATTAGAACCGACTAGTTTTTTCATAAATTTTCAACTATTGAGTTTCGAAGAAACAAATAGATGACCTTAAAACTCCTTGAAATTGTAGAACAACTTATGATGGACACTTATACGTTAACATTAACCCAAATTGAGAAAACTGGATCAATCGGTAATTTCGCTAGGAAATCTGATTGTTAATTTCGATTTTCGAAATTAGAAGTCATTCATGTTTTTTGCTACCTTTACAATTTTACTGGTTCGATAGTGGAGTGTGTCTTCCTTTCACAATAGAGATGCACTGAACTTAAAAAAATCACTAGTCAAACCGCGAAAAAATCGCAATTGAGCCAGAACAAATTTCCTGAAAAAAAACAGCAAGACCTATATAAGAGTACTCACTACGTTCATTACTCTTAAACAACACCAGTAACAAGTGAACACAGCAGCGAAAACGTAACAAAAAAACTAACCGAAAAAAAATTGTAACAATTTTTTTTGGCTCAAATAACAAAAACCCAAGCCTTTTTCACACTAAATTTTCATATACTCGACTTGCAAGAAATTCAGTTATATACAGTTTGAATACATGCAAAACCGAAACCAATTTTAAGAGAAAAAAAAAGATCTAGTACCCTATTCTGAAGCAGTGCAAGTGAAACAAGGCTTATTCACTTATACCTAAAATAAGACACAATTCACTTGGTTCAACTAAAATTCAAATCGGGATCTCTTAAACTACCCCTATTTTGCAATATGGGGACGGGAACAGATTCGTTACTCGGTACAAAATTTACGCATGTTTAACCGTTGAATAAATTCTTTAAAGGGGGTGACAGACCGTTACTAGGTACCATAGGGGGAGATAATTAAAGATATCCAAATATTTTAAAACAAAATTAAAGTGCGTGCTACCTTGTCTATGCCTACAGTTTTCAGTCCGCCTTGGAGAGCCCGCCAATTTGTGATGAGGTCTGTCTCTGCCTTGGAGTTGAAGCGCATCTTCTTCCACAGCACTGGCTCTCTGGGGAAGAAGAGCTGGTTCATCAGCAAACAGTAGCACTCACCAGATCCCAGATCTACACCACACAAAAAGGGAAATGTCTATCACGTATAATTGAATAGGTATTAATCATTTACAATTGGAAAAAGGAAAGCTTATATATTCAAAAAATGAGAATAATTTATCCACGAAGTTAATTGATATTAAATTACTCTACCATGAATTGCAATCAAACCATTTAACTTGTTTTTAAAGGTCAAATATATGATGAATATCGAAAGTATTTTCTCGTGAATCAATTTGGCTCAAGTCAAAATTATTACATGTATGATAAATACATATTAATCAGGGGAAACAGCAATATATGCAGGTGAATATTTTGGGACTATCAAAAATTTGTCAAAATGGTCTCGATTATGATTCTTATTACGTGATGATCCAACAGAGAAATCGCAATGATTAGAAGCAGATTTTTTTATTCGAACTACTTTTTTTCAAAAGTTTAACAAAATAACTGATTCTGAAGTTTATCCTTTTCTTCTACAAAGACGAAAATTCTCTTTTTTTCCAAGACATTTTAGGAAGATCATTAAGTTTTATTTGATGATTCTGTGAGTTAAATTGTTAAAATGAGACACCACGTGATAGAAGTTAAACACAACAAAGACATCACAACTTACTTTATCCGCTGAAGATCTAGAATAGAAAGTTGATAAATTTTGCAAGTTTTTATTATAATTTTTTGTTCTTCGGCATTTGAACTTCATCTATCAAGAAACTTGAGGCTCTCTTCTGCAGAATAGCATTGTATGAAAGCCTGGCGCAAAAAAAACACCTTTAGCAAATACTAAATTGTTTTCCGGCACATTGTTAAAAATACTCTCATAGTTTAAACCATACAATTTATTTCCAAGTTATACACTAAGTTCTCGCACCTTATTTTCAAGCCTGAGAGAAGGTCATTAGACCAAATAGTTCGTTTTGTCATTAGACCAAATTGTTCATTTTCAAACATCTTCACCTGACTAATTTCCATTCATCTTCTTTAAAAACAACTGCGTTAAAAAAGGGCGGAGTCGAGCTCTTTCGCCAATCAATTCCTTAGATCTTTACGACTGTCCGTATATTTATAGAGTTGCAGTAAGTTGGAACATACTGAATTATTTGAAAAGAGCAATCGTCCTAAACAGAGAAATTTTACAAGCATAAGCTAGATTTTCAGACAAAACTTGTGTGCCAAGGTCGCCTAAAAAGTCAAATTTGCATGCAACAGTTGCTCAAAATTGGCAGAATGCTTTAGTTAATTCTGTCTGTTTCAATTTTTTGCTACATATTATATCTTACCTTGTATTTTGAACACAGTATCTGTCTGAAGAGTATCGTTCACCCATTGGACCAGCTCGTGTGTGCTCAGTTTAGCAGCAGCGGCAGGTGTCACAATCACATTCACCGCCTGACCCACCGGTGCCTTCTTACTTCCGGCCACTGACGACATGACGAGTCGCATTAAAGCCGACTGCGACTGTGAGTTGGTCGATTCAGATAATGTGTTCTGTTCGTCTTGTTCTCCTTCGCTTAAGTTTGCATCACGCTGTGCTTGCAAGTGAACCCATTTGGACCTGAAAATTGTAACAGAAATGAGAAAAAGTTAGTGAGACAAAAACTAAAATGAATACTAAGATTACAAAGATTGGAAAAAGATAAAAATTTCTCAACAAAAAAAAATACCTTAAATAATTGTAAATGAATGCACTTGAAACTTTTTTCTGAAAAAAAAAACAAAAACAGCAGCCATAATGAGAAACCGAACCTAACTGCAGCGTAAAACAAACAACATGGACGCGCAAAAAAGAGTGGATGTTTGAAGTTCAAATTATTCCAAAATATTTATGTCAGAACTCTTACCTCAAAACCTTGAACGCTGACACCGCCATCACAATAACAACACCGGTTGCCAATTTAAAAATGACCGTCTCGTAATACATTTTAAGCTTTAAATTGCCTTCGGGAGAGCTTAGGTCTTTTATGATAATAATCTTAGGCTAAATCGCCAAATAAAAGCTCTCACCATCCGTCCATTTTAATGGTCTCAATAAAACTAATGTATCTGTGGATTAGCAAAACATTCTGACTTTGACCAACCCACCGAGGAACCATAAACAGACATTATCCCTCTTTTTGCGTCCGTGTACTTTTGCAGATAAAAAACCTTTGAGGTTTCACAAAAATAGTCGCCTGCCTAGGACATAATAGTCTGTGGCAAGTAAATTATAGTTACGATGACACAATTCAAATCAAGTCTGTACCCCACGAAGCAAAAAGCATGCTGCGATGCACACACAAAAAACTAGCAACGCTACTATACTAATTTTAAAAAGCTATCACGCGTGAGAAATAAATGAAATACTACAAATCTAAAAATCATAAAAGACCCATCTAACCCAAAAGCAATGCCATTCTACTATTTAATAAATTATCAACAGAATCAAGTAATCAGAAGTTAATGCAAATCGATCAACCTGTGGAACATCTCAAAATTCTGATTGAAAATGCGAATTGAAGCTACGCTCTGCTAGCTTGCACAGTTTGTTTATTCCAGAACAGGGATGAAAAAATGTCACAACAGACGGATAAATGAGAGGAAAGGAGAATGAATGAAGTTTCAATTTACTTTAAATAAAAACAAATTAGATAAAACAAAGACTGAATAAAATTTGAGACACTTGGTAGATAAAAATCAATTGTTTTTGAGTTAATCAAATCAGGAGGCGGTTTAAATTTCACGAAGGTTATCAAATTTATCGCATGATGCAATTCAAATTTGAAGTCACCTCACTTAACTCGAGGTAAATATTCACCCCTTCCGCCTCGCCATTTAAACTTCCACGTTAGGGGGTATGCATTCAGGAAAATTCTCCAGGGACAAAAAAAAAGAAGAACACGGCTTGAAGGACTTTTCGCAATCCTTTGCGAATAGTTAAGACCTATATGAGACAGACAGTTGATGAGAATACAAATAAGGAGCTTAGCAAAAAACGACGGTAAGTTAAGCAGCAAAATTAGTATAAATGATTTAGTACTTTCTATATCCCAAACCGCCACTAATACTGGTGGCAGTCAAAGGGAAGCAACAAGATACGATTCAGCTTACAACTATTTAGCAGAAAACATTTTTAAGAAGTGGTTATCCGTGAGCCTGAGTAGTGGCAAACTGATTAATCACAACCTAATCGAATATAAACTTAACGGAGCAAGCGCTTACTACTTGCCACTACTGTGCTTGAAACAAAATTTTGACGTGAAGCACTTAGTTTTCTGCCTAATTGAATAGGCTCGACTTCAAGCCTAATTAACTTATTAAATAGACTTATCTTACCAAATCTCGACGTCCCAGCTGTAGGCGAGTGAAGTTTCCCTGGCGTAACTAGACGCGAGAAGGAGTGAGCCGGTGAATGGACCCCCAAAACGACGTTAGGTTGTACCACTCCTTTTTTCCCCATCACCCTTGTCTAACCAATTTTAAATCCTAATTGAAAGTTCATAAATCACCCCAAAGAGCTTCCTTTCTCGCCCCAGTTGTCAGTGTTTCAGGTAGATGCCGCGGTTCCAGGCAAGACGCATCCCTGAGTTCTCACAGAAACTAGTTATCGGGACTTCAAGGACCAAATATATCAAACCAGCTCTAGTAAAATCAACAATTCACTCCTACCGCGGCGCAACGCTTCATGATTTGTTTGAAACAGTTTTGCAATACAGACCAAAGCGCCTAAATACAGTAACAATAGTTGCTGGATACAATGACACCAGGCTGCATCCACAAGAATTAGAACAGCAGTGGAAAAACTTGATTAACCTCGTCACTAACAAGTTTCAGCCCAAGACACTGATCATCCCCAAAACAATTCAGAACTGTAATAACACTGAAATAAATCGCAAAATTTATATTCATAATCATGTGTTGTTTAATTTGATAAATAGATTTGTACACCCACATACACTCATTGTTACACCTAATCTCAACCTAAATCTAACCACTCAAATGTTCTGCCGTGATGGCATCCATTTCTCGTTCTACGGTAGTGATTTCTTTACTAATTTTCTTGCAAATATAATCTAAATTCTCTCGCTAACTTGACACCGCCATCCTTTCTCAAATGGCTACTCAAACACATTGCCTTATTTGTAGAAACAGCTTGCGAGGCGGAGGTGTTTGGTGCTTCACATGCACAGGCTACATGCATGTAAAATGCAGCGGCCTAGCCCGCAGCAGTGATCATTACGACGATTTCAGCTGTCATCGCTGCACCTCCCAATTTCATTCAGCTAACGACACGCATGAATGCAATCCTTCCAACCCTAGCTACAACCACACTCCCCCAAATTCACCCTCACCCTTCCACTGCCCTACACTCATAAAACTCAAGAGAAACCTCCACTCTAGAAATTCGAACACAAGACCCATGGTCAAACCCCTGCCCAGTACTTATAGAAACCAAAAGGAAAATATACTCTGAAAAGGTCCACTGGAAACCGGTCTTTATAATTTTATCAAAAAACAAAGTTGGTTATAATTTCATTGAAACCCTCAAAAGAACTCTGAACAGCCTAATAGAAAACAACGAAAATACCTTCGCAATGCACGCAGCAATGATTTTTCCACACTTACTACTGTGCAAAACAAAGTCCAAAAATGATGGATCTTTATCCAAAACAATAGCAAGGCGACTTAAGCAATGGCAAGACGGAGACTTGGATGGCCTATATAACGAAGGGAAGGAGCTGTAAATGCGCTTGACAGAAGGAAGTAGAAGAAAAACTGAAACTGAAGCACAACAGTTCAATAAACTAATGAATACTGGTAGAATATCAAGCGCAATAGCAAAACTAACAGACACATCCAAAGGCGTTCTTTCGCTCGGCTCGGTACCCACCATCTGAACCAATTGATGAGAACTATATTACACCAGTCTCAAATGAAACAATTCCCTTCCATCCATCGATATTTGATCAGATAAACGGTCAACATATCAAGAGGGCAGCCATGAGAACGCATGGATCTCATGGACCATCTGGCCTTCATGCAAATGAATTGACACGAATTTTAACACACTTCGGGCAACAATAAATTGAGATTTCAAGAACAATTGCTAAAATTGCCAAAAAATTGGCAACCGAAGAACTAAATCCAGAACTAACGGAACCATATAACGCATGTAGATTAATACCCTTAGATAAAAATCCAGGAGTAAGACCCATAGGCGTAAGAGAAGTTATGCGTAAGATAATAGGACGAAAAATAACCAAATGCCTAAAAAACGAACTCATGTCGCTCGTTTCAAACTATCAACTCTGTCTAGGACAAAAATGTGGCATTGAATATGCGATCCACACGCTAAGAGATCAATACAGCAAAACCTCTGCCGATGCTGTTTTACTGATAGATGCCGAAAACGCTTTCAACTCGCCCATCTCTTTTAACTGCGATTAAGAACTCCTGCTACAATTCATCTTAACTGTTCGTTAACAAAAAAACCATCTACTTTCAAGAAGGGACAACCCAGGGGGATCCACTAGCAATGGCCATGTACAGTCTAGCCAAAATACCCCTCATAAAACTTATCAGTGGACAACGTAACCCAGAAATGGTACGCAGACGACGGAAACGCAGTCGGTAAATTAAGCAATCTACGAACCATCCTCGATAAAATTGTATCACTAGGTAAACTTTTTGGGTACCATGTTAAAGCATCCAAATGCCAACTCATTGTCAGAGATGAAAAACTCGGCGAAGCTGAAAAAATATTTGAAAATACAGGAATCACTGTAAAAGCAGGCGCCCGAGTGCTTGGTTCAGTTATTGGAACAGAATCTATATGTAAAAAGTTCCTCGAACTTCAACAAAATGAGCAAACCAAAATTTTTGAAAAAATTAATGAAAAACGCTAAAACCTCCCCCCAAAACGTTTATGCCTGCTATACTAAAGGAGTTCAAGAAAAACTTTCATTTCATATCAGGACAACGCCCCATACTATGGAAAACTTAGAAATATGTGAAAAGATTATCAAAGAACAATTAATACCTGACCTAATCGGTAAAGACATATTGAACGCCCAGTTCCGTGAGATATCTTCCTTACCTCTTAAAATAGGCGGCCTTAACATCAAGCTGCCATCCGATCATAAGAACTATCTAGAATTTTCTAAGAAAACATCACTAGAACTGGAATCTCAAGATCCTGTTACAGCAAAAACAGCAAGAAAAAATCCAGGAGTAAGACCCATAGGCGTAAGAGAAGTTATGCGTAGGATAATAGGACGAACAATAACCAAATGCCTAAAAAACGAACTCATGTCGCTCGGTTCAAACTATCAACTATGTCTAGGACAAAAATGTGGCATTGAATATGCGATCCACACGCTAAGAGATCAATACAGCAAAACCTCCGCCGATGCTGTTTTACTGATAGATGCCGAAAACGCTTTCAACTCGCTTAATCGAAAGCTGGCATTAAAACACATCAAAAATACCTGCCCATCTCTTTTAACTGCGATTAAGAACTCCTACTCCAATTCATCTAAACTGTTCGTTAACAAAAAAAACCATCGACTCTCAAGAAGGGACAACCCAGGGGGATCCACTAGCAATGGCCATGTACGGTCTAGCCAAAATACCCCTCATAAATTTTTCATCAGTAGACAACGTAACCCAGAAATGGTACGCAGACGACGGAAACGCAGTCGGTTAATTAAGCAATCTACGAGCCATCCTCGATAAAATTGTATCACTAGGTAAATTTTTTGGGTACCATGTTAAAGCATCCAAATGCCAACTCATTGTCAAAGATAGAAAACTCGGCAAAGCTGAGAAAATATTTGAAAATACAGGAATCACTGGAAAATCAGGCGCCCGAGTGCTTGGTTCAGTTATTGGAACAGAATCTGAATGTAAAAAGTTCCTCGAACTTCAACAAAATGAGCAAATCAAAATTTTTGAAAAAATTAATGAAAATCGCCAAAAACTCCCCCCAAAACGTTTATGCCTGTTATACTAAAGGAGTTCAAGAAAAACTTTCATTTCATACCAGGACAACGCCCCATACTATGGAAAACTTAGAAATATGTGAAAAGATTATCAAAGAACAATTAATACCTAACCTAATCGGTAAAGACATATTGAACGCCCAGTTCCGTGAGATATCTTCCTTACCTCTTGAAATAGGCGGCCTTAACATCAAGCTGCCATCCGATCATGAAAACTATCTAGAATTGTCTAAGGAAACATCACTAGAACTGGAATCTCAAGATCCTGTTACAGCAAAAACACAGCAAGAAAAAATCCAGGAGTAAGACCCATAGGCGTAAGAGAAGTTATGCGTAGGATAATAGGACGAACAATAACCAAATGCCTAAAAAACGAACTCATGTCGCTCGGTTCAAACTATCAACTATGTCTAGGACAAAAATGTGGCATTGAATATGCGATCCACACGCTAAGAGATCAATACAGCAAAACCTCCGCCGATGCTGTTTTACTGATAGATGCCGAAAACGCTTTCAACTCGCTTAATCGAAAGCTGGCATTAAAACACATCAAAAATACCTGCCCATCTCTTTTAACTGC